AACTAATCGTAAATTTTCGTAAGTTTACGCTCGCGTAAAAACTTGCAGAGGTTTATGCCTATTTATTTTTGCTAATGCATAGTGAAGGCAACTGGTGGTTTGGCATCACGTTTGCTATACACGGATGCTGATCCTGCAATGATTGCTGCGGTGAATGTTTGTTGGCCAGCTACAAAACATTATTTTTGCTTTTTCATATTCGCAAAAATTTAGAGAAGTATCTTTTAGGCAAGTACCATGATAATTGGAGAAATTTTTTTACAGACTTCTGTAAAATGTGTAATAGTCATGTTGAAATAATCTTTGAAAAAAGGTGGAATGAACTATTGTGCAAATATTCTGATGCTACTAGTTATCTACAATGTCAACTTTATAAATATAGGGAAGCATAAGCATTATGCTTTACACACCGAGCATCTAATGCTGGTGTGCAAAGCACACAACGTGTAAAATATTACAATAGAATAATCAAATCACAAGTCAATGGGCTATCAACTCTTTTGGAATTAGAGAATAATATTAAAAAACTCTTAGAAAAAGAAAGCCGTTTTACACATCTTAATGAAAGTATTGGCCAACTTCCTGTAAATCGAGAAGAAAGTTATTATAATAGATACTTTAATAAGATTGATATATCATGCCAAAAGTTCTTAACTCCGGCAATTTTAAAACTTCAAAGAGATGAAATTAATCATAGTATTCACTATCGGTGTTGTATTGTTGATTTAAAAAATGAGCTTGAAAACTATATAAGTGTTTTTTACTAATATATATAATATAATAATAGCAAATCTAATTTACATATTTTATAAGATTTATACTGAATCCTCAAACGAAACATTCTCAGAAGATATATTTAATACAAATATTATTGAGTTGGAACAACTAATAATTGGCCTTGAGTAAACAAGAATTATCAAAGTTTGGCATGTTACTTCATTAGACAAAAAAAGCGTACATTTTATTGTACTTTATGATAATGCCACACATTTTTGTACATGTTTAATTTTGATAAATCGTGGTCTTATATGTCGGCACTTTTTTTTAGTAATGCTTGTTTCAAAAGATGCAAAATTCCATACTAGACTTATACCACAACGTTGGTATCTGGATACATTAGTTGAAAGTATTACAACACTTGAAAATGAGCCAGTAATTTCAATAGTTTCAAATGAAGAATTTAATGAATCTAGACATGCTATTTATGTTGACTTTTCACACTTAGAAGATATTCATGGAAATCATATTTTTACAAAACATATTTCTCATGAAATGATACGTAGAGAACAATGGATAAAGGCTTTGGTATGTTAAAAAAGGTTCTAAATTTGGCGATTATAACAAACAGAGCTGAAGAACTTTATAAGATTCATACAAACCTCATTAAAGAAATGGAAAATGAAATTAAAAGTCAGGACAGTCAAGCTATAACAGAAAATAATGAACTTTAGGAGTTTGTACATGCTATAAATAATCCTATTAGCGTTAAAACTAAAGGTAGATCAAGTAAATGAATTAAAGCTTTCAATGATGTTATGAATATATTAAACAGCAAGAATACAAAAGCGAAAGTGCCCAGAAATATTTCAAATTCAAGTAACAATATAAAACTTTATTTCAATATTTATTAGTTTGTTTGTTTACTTTTATTCATCATTATTTAATTATTCTGTTTGGTAGAAAATAATATATCAGACACTAAATCTATAAGTGACACAGAAGAGGCCACTGCGAATAAACGAAAGTGTGGAATTTGCAATATGGAAGGCCATAATGCATAAACCTGTTCTGATTTTGCAGAATCCAATATCGTCGAGTTAAAGCCTGCTAATAATAATGAAGAGACTAGCATAAATAGGCGAAAGTGTAGAATATGTAGTTTGGAGGGTCATAATGTGCGAACATGTCCTAATTCTATAGAATCTGATATTTCTAAAATGATGGAATCTGCTAGTGATACAGAGGAAAGCAATATAAATAAGCGAAAATGTGGTATTTGTGATTTGGGAGGCCACAATGCACGAACTTGTCAGGGTTAAATAGATAAAATCAGGTTATATACATATATAATAGATACTATTATATTTAGTATAATTGTACGTACTATGATGCTTTATATTATGCTATATGCTATGTAACTTGGGTTTTACAAAGATTATTACCATATATACTTATATATATCCGACTTATTAAATAATAATTTATTCTTACTTTCAAATTAAATCGATTAGTTTTTACTATTCTATAAATCTTGTTATCTGATTCAAAAAGTAACTGATTAATTTAATTTAAAAATGATAAAGATACAATCTGTTTTTTGATAATTTCTGCTTTGAGTTAGAAACAGTATTTAAGTAGATATAGAATTTTAAAAATTTGATAAAAGAAAAAAGTTAAGGTTATGGTTAGATTATGATTTATATTAGGGCAAGAAAAACACTTCTGTGTAATACAAACTAAATTAAAAAAAGTTAAAAAGCTGAGTTAAAGTTCATTACTATAGAAATATAAGTTTATCCCTTAAGCTGTAGAGTTCGTGTAACAATTTTAGCTTAAAAATAGCATAAATTTAGTTATGATCTATTTTTT